GTATTTATTAGATAAAAAACCAATGCCCTTCGGGGCTCCTTGGTGATTCATAATAACTTAACGAATCGCATGGCCTTGTGCCGGCGATGGTTCATTCAAATTTCTGCCCTATCAACTTTCGATGGTAGTATATGGGACTACCATGGTTTCAACGGGTAACGGGGAATTAGGGTTCTATTCCGGAGAGGGAGCCTGAGAAACGGCTACCACATCCAAGGAAGGCAGCAGGCGCGCAAATTACCCAATCCCGACACGGGGAGGTAGTGACAATAAATACTGATACAGGGCTCTTTTGGGTCTTGTAATTGGAATGAGTACAATTTAAATCCCTTAACGAGGAACAATTGGAGGGCAAGTCTGGTGCCAGCAGCCGCGGTAATTCCAGCTCCAATAGCGTATATTAAAGTTGGGGTCGGGGGTGATGATCATCCCTTCTGTTTTGGTCTGAACAGAAAGGGGAAGGGGCGCTCGTGGGCTAGTGCGAGGTAAGTGGCATAAGAGACTTCGTCTCCTCCCACAGAACCATCACTCCTACACATCAAACCAATAACAATTTTCGTCACTTAGTATCCACGTTCCTGTTGTGACCCTGTTCGCATCTCAAGAAGTAAGCACTCTGAACCTTGAGGACAACTGAGAGATACTAATGGTACCATCTGTTTCTAGGAAATGGAACTTGTACCTATCATTGAATCAGACCCGGGCACGCCCAAACGAAAGCGGGATATGAGCAAAGACGAAAGGGCCTCGATTCGAAAGTCCAAAAAGAGGGAGAAAAGACTTGTGATTCGAACTCTCGACGAAGGAAAAGCAGTAGGCGATGAGACGGCACCTGCTATAGAAACGTCTTAGCAGAACGAACCCGACCCATTCGAAGCTGACTCGATCGTCGATGCCGAAATGGCTGAAGGACCCCCGAGCAAACGTAGAGTAAGCTTGATACATCCCTCAGTTGATTTAAAGCTAATTGGTTAGCAGAAGAACAAAGGCGCACCTCGAAACGCATGTCCTGACTGCGGTGGACCACAATGGAAGAAGGATCGCAAGGGAAAGGGGAAGGCAGTTCCGAAGCAACCACAAAGTGGGAAAAGTGGCAAACCCGGGGGCGACCGAAAAACAAAGCGGAGTGAACAGGAAGAAAGCCGCTTCGCGGATGGATCCTTTCTCGCCGTGAAGGCCCCAGAGGCCATAAAGGACAAGCTCACCGAGGAGGATTTTCAAACGTTTGTGAGAGCGCAGGCGTTATAAAACATGGCATGTCAGTTGGTGCACTATCCAAAACTCACTGGTTCCTCAGGTACGATAACCAAGCTGAAGTTGATGAGGTTGTGGGGAAAGTCATCACTTTCCCCAAGGATTTAGGTCTTAAAAAGGATGAAAGACATGAAATTGTGCCGTACTTGGCTGACGGGCCAAAATCATTCTACCTGTCCAACGCTGGACCATTCAAAGACCTGGAAATCCAGGAATTGATCGAGAAAAAGTTCGAAGGTCAAAAATATTGGATGGGAAAAAAGATGTTAGGATTGATAAAAACCCCAGAGAGGTTATTGCTATTCGAGAAGAGTCAAGGACTCTACTCTTTCGAGGTCGGGGACAAGGCGGGTTTTCTCCTTCGGTTTAGGGCAATAAACCGAACGAAAAAGTGTGGGTATTGTGGGAAGGAGCACGAGGGAGGGGCAGGTTCCTGCCCATTGATACAACCTTGTGAGCCTAGCTCAGATTTGAAAAATAGGCTAGTTAGAATGCGTATTTAAACTTTTAAATGAAATATTGTTTTGATAATTGTCCCACAAACACCATGTCTCTCATTGTGACTTCGTTAAATTGCTCATCACTAACGATAAATCGCCTTACCACAATCATCAACTGGTGTATTATAAACAAAACAACCATTCTGCTTCTCCAAGAAGCCCGGCTAAATGATGAAGACCTGAGAACCTGCCTTCAGATCTTTCCATCATTTGACATTAGAAGTTGCTGCCCTCATTATCGTCAGGTGGGCTAATCACTATAGTGAATAAAAAAGTAGCAAAATTCGATGACTGCAACGGAGATGGAGTAGTTTTGAGTGACGAGAGCGGCCGCCTTCTGGTGACTGACATCAAGCTCCAAAACACTCTAATCACCGTGGGTAACATCTACTGACCCGCTAAAACGCCCCAATGGCTGAAGTGGTCCAAATGGACGATCGATGAGCTCCCAAGGGGGACAATCGAATGTGACATTATAGGCGGTGATTGGAATCAGACCGTAAAGGTCAAGGACCGAACGTCCAAACGACTACCCTCCTGGGCTGTCATGGAGACATTCGACGCACTATTAGATATTCTTGGACCATCCAACGAAACACTAATGGACTCGTTTGACTCTAGGGAAATCGACGAAATTGAATACACCCACTACAACTCCAATGAAGGAGCATCTCGTGTGGATCGCATATATATCCCCTCTTCATGGCGAGATATGATTACCCGAATTGAAATCAAGCCACCACCCATATCAACTGATCATAGAGCAGTGAACCTATGCCTCCAGATGAATGAAAATGGGAAAAAAGCTGGAAGATGGCGCCTCAACCCCCTAATACTCAAACACAGAATCGTTAGTAAAGCACTATATGACCTGACATTGGGAAACTGGGATGCAATGAAGGCAGAGGCCATACAAATATTACAACAAGCATCTGCTGTTGTAGGTCGAAAAAGGAATAGTCGACTACAAAGTCTCAATAGGCGACGACTTAACCTGACCCGAAGACTGAAATCTAATCCTACAAATGGCATACTGAGGCAACTTAGACAGCTTCATTACAGGGAACAAGTGCTCACAGAGGGACAGGCAAATGATTTTGCTTACAAAGTAAAGGCAAAGCACCATCTTCTCAATGAAAAGTCTAATAAGTGGTTCTTCAACAAGTTGAAGGACTACGACCCGGGCACTATAAAGGCATTGTATGATAGGAACAGGACATTGGTCACAGACCCAGAAGGAATCGCTAGAGCGACCTCCGAATTCTGGGCCCCATTGTACCAACGACGTGAGGTCGATATTAACGCACTTCACGAGATGCTGGGTAACTGGGGGAATAGAATATCGCCAACTGAGACAAGATACATCAGTGCCCCTATAACAGGAATTGAAGTATGTAAAGCCATATCAGGTCTAGGGTATGGCAAAACCCCAGGAATGGATGGTTTACCTGGTGAATTTTACAGGTTGTTCTCGGACAAGGCGAGGAACACACCTTCACACAATCCAATTATTACTACACTCACAGTGGAGTTTAACCGGATTTTAAAGGGTGGGAAACCTATGGCAGAATGGCTAGAGGGATGCATGACAGTACTGTATAAAAAAGGCGACAGAACAAACTGTGCAAACTATAGACCATTGATCATGCTAAATGTGGACTACAAATTATTCAGTGGAATACTAGCAACAAAACTTGCATCAATCCTCCCAACGGTTATAGGAGCCCATCAAGGAGCCTTCTTACCGGGAAGATTGATAGATGACAACATCCGAATGGTACAACTAGTCACAGACCTTCTGAACAGACAGGACAGCGAGGGTGGTTCCTTGTTATTCCTAGACTTAGAGAAAGGATACGACCTAGTGAGCCAGGAGGCTTTGTGGACAATCATGAACCATATTGGACTACCACCCCTAATAGTGGACTGTATAAAACAGTGCTACAAAGGAGCTTGGATAGTACCTATGGTTAATGGAATAAAAGGAGACACGATCAGACGATACAGAGGCATACATCAAGGTGACCCCCTAAGTTGTATGTTGTACCTGTTAGTGATAGAACTTGTCGCAAGACAAGCCTCAAAATTGCTACAGGGACTACAAATAGAAGGCCGCCCTCTGATGACAGCACTGCTCTTCGCTGACGACACCCTAATGTATATCAAAAGCCAGCATGAGGCAGATATAGCTGAGAACATCTTCAATACCTTCGAGCGAGCCACAGGACAAAAAGTTAATTGGCACAAGTCGTGTTACTTAACGTTTACACCTAATGGCCCTGGAATAAAGGACATGAGGAAGCTTTCGGACTCTGAATACACGATGTATTTGGGAATACCAGTGGGAGGGCCGACCCACACGGGGTATACTGAAGTCTGGCAGAAGGCTTTGGAAAAAATGCAAGGAGTTAAGAAATCATGGACTAAAGCCCACCTCTCCACGAGAGGTAGAGTCCTAATTGCGAACTCACTAATTCTACCCATAACCCAGCACATAATGAAATTCACCCCTGTCCCACAAGGGATGCTACAGAAGGCAGAAAGCATATATTGGGAAATGATATGGGACGGCAAAAGGACAGGCTTAATTAGAAGACATGAAGCCATAACTAGCAACCTCAAGGGAGGACTAGGATGTCGGGATCTTCAAAATATGATGGGAGCGATCACAATAAAAACAATAGCGAGAGCTAGAACAGAACCGATACCATCATGGGCAACGTTGGGCAGCTATATGCTGAGAAACACACAAGTTAGGACACTGTCAGTACGCCAAAATAGGTTCATAGACCCCTGGGTACAAACCGTGGCAGCAAGACCCCCGAAACCTCCACCAAGCCTGCACCATATACTAAGTATTTGGAGAGGATTCCTCAAAAAGGCATTGGAGGACACGGGCCCATTGTGCTTTGGACAACCTAACACCAAAGCGGACTATAACTCAATTAAGTTCTGGTACCACCCCCAAATCAAATCAGGCCAGGGAGTAGGAGCCAGAAGGTTTGCAAGCAAAGCATGGACCCAAATATCGGACGCCAATGCAAGCACGATGGGGGACCTTGAGGAAATACTTCAAAATAACCAGAACTGGACTACAAGTGAATGGAATAACATTAAGAGAACCATAACAAGTTTACTTGATGACATACCATCCTCGTGGATCAATGCTAGGAATAGCACAAAAATCAATCACACAAACACAGCCGGTCAAATCCTACTGAATATGGTCAAACCAACATCAATAGGAACATTCTCAATGTGTTACAGTGCTTGTAAAAAATTTAATAGAATAAACACTCCTGCTAGACCCCCTCTGCTCAGGGAAGCGCTTCAGGAAGTGAGGAATCTCACTGGACATATAACATCCGAGAAACAGTTTTGGGCATGCCTATGGAATATTTCATTGACACCCAAAACATGCGATTTCGTATGGCGGTTGGTACACAACCTAGTCCGAGTGGGTGAAGATTTAGGATGGCTACCAGAAGACAAGAAATCATGTCCCTATTGCCGAGCTCGACTAAACATCAGCCACATCCTTATTCAATGCCCTGGCTGTATACCTGTATGGACCCGTATGGGACACATAGGCACAAAACTAGGGCAAACGTTCACCATTCAACCGAAATCAATAGCACAGCTTATTGCGTTGATATGTGCGGATCCCGGGGATACTCCAAACGCTAGAGGTAGAGGTCAGCTCCTCACTTCAATAATAGTGTGGAGTCTCTGGAAGAATCACCTCCGATGGTCGATTGATGGATATAACGGAGCCACCACACCCGAAAACACCATAGGCTTAGCAATTAAGCAGCTCACTTCGTGCTTCCATAGGGACCGAGTCATAAGTATGACATACAGGTACACTGGACACAAGATGACAACAGCTCAATTCCGACATTTCTGGGGTATGGAGCCCTGGACAGTATCAACTGTTCAGCCCCCATGGTTTCTAATCGATTAACCAACAATTTACAACGAATCCAACGATTATGGCTGTCATTCTCTAGCCTAAACAGAAATGGCAAGCCCAACCAACAACAGGGAGCGGGGACTAGGAGCATTACCTAGGACAGGAGTTCGTCGAAGTCGACTTCCCTCTCCCTGACCAAAAATAAAAGAACTAAATACTCTCCAATAGCGTATATTAAAGTTGGGGTCGGGGGTGATGATCTTCCCTTCTGTTTTGGGTGAACAGAAAGGGGCAAGTCAGTAATGGGCTTAAGCGAGATACGTGGTATATAGAGCATGTCACTTGCCCACCGAACGAACACACCTACACATCGTTCTAATAACATTTTGTCACCTAGTACCACGTTCTCGATCGTGACCTTGTTAAATAGTTCAACATAGTAAGTCATCTGAACATTGAAAAATCACTGAGAGATACTAATGGTACCGTCTGTTCTAGGGAATGGAGATCGTACCTTTCAATGAATCACCCATGAGTACGCCAAAAAGAAAGCGCGATTCGAGCAAGGCATAGAGGTCGTCGATCCGAAAGTCAAAGATGAGGGAAAAGCGACTGGTTTTCCGCACAGTTGGTATGCACCAGCTGAAAATTATGAGATAACAGCTGAACGTGAAGACGCTGTCAATGATGCGGAACCAATCCGAGTCGACCTCCCTGCCGAAGCTGAAATGGTTGAAGGACGTCCAAGCAAACAAATATTAAGCTTGACACATTTTTGCCGATGAAACTAAATTGTCTCTAGAAGAATCAAGGCGAACCTCGCAATGCTTGTCCTCAATGTGGTGGTTCACATTGGAAGAAGGAATGCAAAGGCAAGGGAAAAACTCCTGCGAAAAAGCCAGCAGTTGGAAAAGGAGGGAAAATCGGGGGAGATAGGAAAACGAAGCGAAGTGAGGTTGAAGAATCGCGTGCCGTCGACGGCTCTTTTCTTGTGTTCAAAGTCACAGGCAATAAAGGACACAATTATCGAGCTAGACGTTTCCAATATTTGCGAAAGAGCAGGTGTTGTTGGAAACTGAATGTTAGTGTGCTCCTTATCAAAGACACACTGGTTTTAACGACATGAAAGCCAAGCTGAGGTTCAAGAGGTTGTGGGGAAAAGTGAAATTTTCCCCAAAGAATTGGGTCTCAAGAAGGACGAAGTACAGGAAATCCTCCATTATGTGGATTGTATGGTCTTAAAGCTGTCATCCGTCTAGCGCAGGACCATACACAGATTAGTAGATTAAGGAGATGATAGAGAAGAAGCTTTATGACTAAAAATAATGGATGGGCAAGAAAATGCTGTGGTGGGTAAAATCCCAGAAACAATGGCAATTTACGAGAATAGCCAAGGGCTATACCTGTATGAGTTAGAGAGCGGAGCAGGTTCCCTGAACAGAGAAGTCGTAGTATCACACCAAAATTAATCCAATTCTGAATTGTCAATAAGAAATGAGAGGGTTACTCAGTAGCAACCAATCCGCTGACCTATTGGAGTAAGCCTCGCGGCCATTCAAAAGAAGAGAGATTCGTGCTACAAGATCTTAGTCCTGCTACTGGTGCGCCTCCCAAAAATCAAAGGTCAGTGTGGGAACTGATAGTTAAGGAGATAAACTGTGAGTAGCTAGATCCCACCCATTGCCACGAGCAATGAGTTTTGGATCGAAAGAACCCGCCGCGAGACATCGAAAGAAGAGGATGATTGAAATTGAGACGACGGAGCCGGACCCGAGTATCAAGAGACGCAGGACAGGTTCGAAACACCCGAGCAAAGCCACGACATTGACATAGTCGTGGCATCATAAGTCTCGGAGGCAGAGGAACCAACCAAAGTGAAAGGCAAGGAACAAGTTGTACTGAGTACCGAGCGACACGAAAGATAAGCTAGTAAATTACATGAAAGGGATAGCGCTTTCAGTCAAATGACACAGAGACCCAAATCTGCTAGTGAGCCGAACCCGTGCAGAATTTACGTGGACAAACACAGGAATAAATACTGCATCTAAATTGAAAAGCGAAAGGAGGAAGATTAAATGGCGAGGTTTAAGGAAGGACACCTCTCAGACCAATTGTATTCGAGAAATGGTTTTTAGACCTAAGTTAACTTCAACCTGGGTAAGACAGGACTATTAGACCAATAATTGGCAGTATAACCATGCAGTGTCTGTGGGAAGCATACCTTAAATGGTCAATAGATGAAATTAATCATGCACACTAAGAGAAAAAGTATATGGAGATGATAAAGGAACAAACAATCAAGACAAGTCAAATTGATAGAATTAATTCCACATCACCACTATACAGAAATGAGAGGAAAAAATGTGACCATTAAGGCCGAGTTGGAAATATTATTAAGGTACGTGGCTTATACAGCTGAACCACATTCCCTAACAGATTAAAATATCATTATAATGTCTGAAAAAAAGACAAATAGAAACCAAAGGGAAGGATGAAATCGTAAGCAGTATGGTATCTAGACAAGAATCTAGACCTGAATCTGTAAGCTGGACATCTAACCTGAAGAGGGGGACTATTCTCAACACCTATCAGTGGTGTCCCCTACGAACCTCCAGCTCTCATTGTAGAGTCTGCAGAGCCGAGATTGAGTAACAATGTCATCACTTCGAAGAGTATTCCCAGTCGCTTATAAGGTCTGTACTGTCCTCATCACTAAGTACATCCCCCTATCACACTATTATGAAGCTAACCATTATCAGATGGTTGTTGAAGCCCTTTTCATCTCTAACCCTCTATCATGGAGTAAAGCCATCTCATGAGTTTCTCGAGCGTACCTTGTGCTCGATATGAACACTTTAGATTGGATTAAGTTGCCCGACTGTGTCAAACTAGGGTGATACAGTTAAACATGTGTATTTCTTGTGGTCTTGGTGTTTTGACCTCATCTGGCTGGAGCTGCATGTATTTTGAGGCTTTTTCCTGTGCATGCAGTTTCCAAAGCTACCATTTTCTTGGTTAGAAGGTTCTGTGGAAATAGTGACTGAAACTCACGCGTAAACACTAAGCTGAATGGCTGATATTCAAGGGTATACATATCAATGATCTTATAAGTGGCAAGGAGCTCTGTGAGAGAAGTGGTCTGGGTCAGAAAGAAGTCCAATGTGGATAATTGTCTTTGACTTAAGTAGAATAATTAACACTACTCACCCGATCTGAAGATAATTATCAAAAAAATAGATGGAACAAATTAAGAAAAACAGAAGGATAGTCTTAGTGGCCAACTGACAATGAGAACCGTGAAGTTCAACCACAGGAAAGCGTGAAATAGGGGCGGAACTTTGATTTGGAAAGAGCAAAGCTGTTTCCCTCTCCCTGCAAAAAAAACAATAAAAGAACAATCAAACACTCTGATAGCGTTCATTAATGTTGTAGGAGAATAGTATTCAAACGGGAGTAGTCCATACCTGCCCACCATCAAATTCTGAAATGTCATCGAAAGAGATGAGAGGGTAAGCAAGTGGTGATGAGTCCGCTGATTGTTTGGGAAATCTCTTAGCCTTACGTGGCTTTTCAAAAGAATTGCTCGTGCTTCCATGTCCTTATCCTACCTCAGGTACAACTTCAAACAGTCAGACGTCAGAGCGGGAACTGATATACAAGGATCACTGAGAGTAGTTAGGTCTTACCCATTGCCACAAGTTATGAGTTCCAGATCGAAAAAAACCCGCTGGAAGGCGACGAAAAAAGAGGATAATTGAGAGGATAGAGCTAGAACCGGACTTCAACAAGATGCAGGACCGAGACCCTCCAGTCATGCCACAACACAGACATAATCAGAGGTGAGAGATTTCAAATGTCAGAAGAAATTATGGATTTGGTGAAGACTAACTACTGTGAAAGCATTTGCTAGGAATGTTGTGATTAATTAGTATATTAAAGATAGGGGCTTGAAGACGAGTAGATACTGTAGCTGGTAGGTAAATTTCTTGTTGTAATTTTGGGTTTGGCTGATACGAATCAGACTTCGGTACAAATTCGATTTTATCTAAACAATAACCAACCTTACATCACAAATCAAGAAATTTCCACAGCTCACACCTCCTCGCGGTGCCGGTGGTTTCGACTGAGTTGAGCTTTAAACATATGCAGTAGGGAGTCTTCGATTATTAACGAGGTGCGTAGAAAATTATGTCTTCTTCAACCAAGTCAAGTGAGAAAAAAGAGAGGCGCATGAAAAAGACCAAGTCTCGGATAGGCAAGAATAAGGAAGCTGAACCAGACGTAACTACACCTAGGGTGTCCAATGACCCTATAGACAAGCCAATCAAGGAGAAAATAGCGGCCAAAACATCTAAGTCGGCCCCAACGAGCACTAGAATGTCTTCGGACCACAAACAAAGAGTCGCTGAGACAAAAAGAGCAATTTTCTGTTCTTTACCTAAAGTCATTACAAAAAATAGGGCTGCGGCATTTACCCAATTACGTGTCCACTTAGCCGGTCTTCACCTATTGGGCCTGGATTTTTTGTTTAATTCGGGACAAAGTTTTTACACCTTACAATTTGACACCGTCGAGCATAGGGAAAAAGCACAAGCAAAAGTCGCAAAACAATCCTTTAAGTTTGGCTCGGAAAAGTACAAGTTGGTGGTGAACGCATTTGGTGACCCAAAAAAAAAAGCATCCAAAGTCAAAATAATATCATACTTCACATCATCCATTAGATGATAGATCCATCGAGTCACTTAAACAACTCATATTTCTTCCATTCCACACGTATAATTACTATATCCATCCGTCCAAACCCTGAAAATCAAACATCATCATGGCTGCGTACAACCAGCCGTCGCCCTCGGCGTGAATCGACCCAGGCGACGACCTACACCCGAGCCTTCTTGGGATTGCCGCCGCAATGGAGCAATCAGAACGCGACAGAAATCAGCGAATGAGCCTAGCTCAAGAATTCCTGCAGAATATCGACGCCCGGGCAAAATTCATGGCTGGAACCGATGGTGTGGCCTTAATCGCGCCTTTTATTGAAAAGATTTCACCTATTGTGACAGCTTTTGCAATAAGCAACGTCAACGCCACATACAACTCATGTAAGTACCCTTTCCCCGAAGCCACTCAGATGAAATACTCTGTGCCAAGGGTGACAAAGATAAACGAGAAACCGCCTCATGAACTGCCGAAAAAGCCTCAAGTGGCTGAGTCACATTGGGTCACTGTGGCACGAAAAGCGGCCAAGCTCCCAAACCCGCCAGCCAACCTGGTCAAACAAAGGCCTGTTGTGCAGACACGACCAGCAGAAAAGGAACCCCCAAAGAAGATAAACGACTTTTTCTTCGAATGGGACGAGAGCATCAGTGGCGCAAGTTATCATCAGTCACTATCAAGAAAATTGTCACAGAGAAAGCTGGGATTGCACCCTCAGCAATCATAGCAATGACACAAGTTAGGTCTGGCCTAGCAAAGGAGTGCGCATCAGATGCACTCAGGGAATCAATTCTGGGTGTGGGTCCTTCACTCCATAAAGAGGAAATCACAATCGAACCGGCGTCAGACTGGATATCCGTCATGGTACCGCATGTCCCAATTTACATCCGTACATTAGACGGAAGAATTGAAGTAACTAGGGAAATGGTGAAGATGGAAGAGTGTTAGCTTTACAATTTGAGGCTGAGGGTGGTAAACAAGTGAGAATCCTGGGGGGGTTTTTTTTTTAAATCATTTAAGTGTATTCAGCTATGGAGCTATGACACATGACCGGTGCTATGTATACATGTTGGATGACTCTTTTGACGGTAGAGACACTCATACTCTGGATTTCATTTGCAGTTACCACTATGAGGTATGCTTGCTCACACAAACAGCCGACCCTCCTCCGTAAGTACCCACCAAAGGAACGTTTCAAAACCTTTGGTCATCCATGCATACCAGCGCCGCGAGAAAAGTGGTTGTGTTTTGCTGGATTCGAACCAGCGATCTACTGTCTCAAGTGGGATAAGTGTCCGAGCTATCCAGACTCAACTTGGCAGACCGGCCAAGACGATGAACCACCGCACCATCCAACCATGGCGGTGTTTATAGTGTCGCCTGCACTCTCGCAAGCGAAGTCTTGGCGCGCACGAAGCTCAATTCGTAAAACCATGCCAAAATTCGAAATTTCACGCCCATCGAAAACGTATCCATCCTTCGTATCATCTTATAAACTCGCCCTGATTAGTCTCACGTCCATCCCAAAGAACAGCCTCCCTGATTTGTGCGCCACGCTTTGTGTCCTTCGTCGGGTATAAATAACGGCGTGGGCGTGTATTTGGTGGTCAACTGAGACTAGAGAAAGTTGATAGGAGGTGTAGTCATTGGAATGAGGATGTGCTAGGTCGTACTTGTATACTTGATGAGACTTGGGTAGGAGTTGAACTCATTGGGAGCGAAAAAACGACGTGGAGGAGTAATTTGGATTTGTGCCTCGTGGGCCAACTTGTTCCATATTGCGAAATTTGACTGAACTTGGCTCTGGGAGAATATTTCACTCCCAGGTTCATAGAGGACACCGCGTAGAGGTGTTCTAGCTTGCCCTCCCGCACTTCTAGCTTTGATCCAGCATGACACTCTTCTAGTCAACTTCTACTTTCGTTCCTTAAATATTGCGCCTATTTCATTGAGCGATATTTCCAACAGTTGTAAACTCATCCCTTTTCGTTGCTGGTCTTGTACTCCAATTTCTAGCTAGTTAAACAGGGGTGCCATAGGCTACATTTGTATAATGGTAGCTGCTCTTATGTACTTAAGGAATCTTGGAGACTATCATTGTCCTGTAGCTTCTTGTCTTG